GCTATTGGCAAAAATGCAGCCCAGCTGCACCAAGAGACCATAGCATTTTCCCAGTACCATGGGACAGCCACCAAGAACAGCAGCAGCCCATGGAGCAGAGCTAGCCGGAGCCTAGGAGACAGTGTGTGTGAACTGTAGTGGCTAGAGCCAGAGAAGTGACCCAGGTTCTTTGGAGGATCTCAGAAGATCATAAATGAATCCCAGTTGTTAGACACTGAGCTATTTAGACAGTTGGAATTTGGTTTTCCTTCAGTTGATTGAGGCTCTGCCCTGGTTCTTCCCTCTTGAAGTAAAAAAGTATTTAACTTATTTTTGATTTTACAGGGGTCCACAGTTGAGAGATTTTAAACTTTGAAGAGGGTTTTGTAGTTTTACAGAGACTTTTATTTCCAAAAGAGACTGGATGTTTTAAAAAGAGAGTGAAATTTTAAAGTGTTGAATTTGTCATGACTGTGGGAGTTTTAAAGCTTTATTTTATGTTTTCTATATTTAATATGGCAGTATAAATATTAATATGCCATCTTGGGGACAAAAGAGAAAGGACAGGTTGTGGCTTAACAATGATGTATTTGTGTATCAAGTTGACAAGGGGCTGATTGTTCTGGCTAGTTTCACGTCAACCTTATGCAAGCTATCGTAATTTGAGAGGAGACAACCTCAATTAAGAAAACACCTCCATAAGATCAGGTTCCACTTACAGGGCATGTAGGAGGGCCTAGTCTAATGTGGTTGGGGTCACCCTTGGGCTGGTGGTCCTGGGCTCTATGAGAAAGCATGCTGAGTAAGCCAGTGAGCAGCATCTTCTGTGGCCTCTGCATAAGCTCCTGACTCTAGGTTCCTACCCTGTTTGAGTTCCTATCCTGATGCCCTCCAATGATAGACTACAATATGGACGTATACACCAAAAAGTGAAACAAAACAAAATAAACTTTTTTCCCTGGACTTGCTCTTGGTCATGGACTTTAATCACAGCAATAGAAAAGTAAGACATGGTGATACATTTTTTTTCTTAAAATGTCTCTTGGCTCCAATAAGACTAAACTTTTGCTGGACCTCACAGTCAAGTTAATAATGTCCCTTGAGAGCATCTGAGACTGTGAACTTATCCTGCTCTCCTACTGTTTACTCGACTTGTTTAGGTTGAGCCTGCTTTAAGAGAACTGTGTATCCAACATTACTATGCCTTGGATTTTCAAATACAATCAGCTTTTACATCTCAAGCTAAATGTATAGCTTTAATCTTCAACTATGCACTCTTCCATACCCTTGACCCAGAATAATGTACATGTGTATGTGTGTGCTGTGGTAATATTTTGGTAAAAGCAGCCAACAGGTTGAAAGCAACATTAAGACAAATATACATATAAATATTGGAAGCAATATGTAAATATGTTGATAGCATCTCTGTGTGATTATGAGTGTTATTCTGGGTCAATAAAGTAATACTTTCCTTGTAAAACTCTGTTAAAGATCCCTGTATAGAATTTCCCATCTCTTTCCCACTCTACATTTTCTGTGTTGTTCAACAAATACAGAGCAAAGCCCTTTGTTGTAGTCAGACAGAGGATACAGGAGAGAAGCAAAGAATTCAAATTTGAACTTGTACTTGGGCAGATTACTCTGGGAGAAACTTCCTTAATCTCATTCTCTAATGTAGTGATTCTCAACCTAGGGCTTACGACCCCTTTGGCAAACCCCTATCTCCAAAATTATTTACATTATGTTTCATAACAGTAACAAAATTACAGTCATGAGGTAGCAACAAAAATAATTTTATGATAGAGAGTCACCCTAACATGAGGAACTGTGTTGAATGTCACAGTGTTAGGAAGGCTGAGAACCAGTGTTCTAATATGTTGTATATGCAGTCAGGGCTGGAGAGATGACTCATAAGGGTTTGCTGTACAAGCATGGGGACCTGTGTTCAGATCCATGTAAAAAGCTTTACATAAGAACACACATGTCTGAACTCCCAGTGTTGTTGTGGGTAGAGACAGAGGATTGCCGGGCTGCTGGTTGGCAGCCTAGCCCAGGTTCACTGAGAGACAGCATGTCAGGGGTCTAAGGTGATAAGTGGTGGAACAGAACACCTGCCATCCTTCTCTGCCTTCTGCGTGTAAGCATGATTATACTTGTTCCAACATGTATTTATTACACACACCCACATACCACATACACATCACACACATCATACATATCACACACAACACATACAACACACATAACACACAACACAGCACACACATAGCAATATAACATACAACACACAATACACACACTAAAACACACTATTAAGTAATGTAATTCACCACATGGTGTGGCCTCTGTTGACATAATCACTGACCCCTTGGTATTTGGAGGTGATGCTTTGGGAGGTGATGGCAGAGCCCTTGTAAACGAGGATGGAGTCCATGTAAAGGAAGACTGACCGGATAGGGCTTTACCCCATCTGTCATTCAAGATAACAGTGAGGCTGTGGATGACTGGGGAAGTCGGTCCTTGCCAGACTCCAAATTACTCACCTGGAGCTTCCATCTCCCAGGCCCTAGAATTACAGGAAATAAGTTTCTGTCGTTTCTAAGTTGCCTTGCCTGTGGCCTTCTGTTCTGGCGGCCTGAAAAAAAAAACCAACTGAAACATGACACTGATGGATAATGAAATCATCTCTGTAAGTGTAGCGGGACCGACCTCTAGGAGCCAACTCTTATTTATGAGAAAACCTCTAAACAAAATATGATTAAGGGGATGTTGATCAAATAACAAGTACCTAGAAGTTCAGCAAATGTATTTGATGGGAAATACTGAAAATATATGCATGAAAATCAAGAGTAAGATGTAGAAGACAACTATCACTTGTGTCTGACACTGAGGTGAAGGATATGGAGGTCTAGTCTGTGCATTAGAATGAGACAGAAATTAAAGTATAGGAATTGTAAAGGTAGAAATAAAACTCCCAGTCACAGATAATCTAACTATATTCCTATAAAATTAGAAGAATTTTGAAAGAATTTGGTCATTTTACTCCAATAACCTATCTGATTATATTTTAAGGCGATTCATTATCTATATATTTATCATTTATGTGCATGCATGTGAAGTTGAATGAATTTATGCACACATAATACATGCAGGAGGCCAGGGATGCCTGAAGAAGGCGCTAGACATCTGGAACTAGAACTACACATGGCTGTAAACCACCCTGTGGGCTCTAGAAACTGAACCTGGGTCCTCTGTAAGAGCAGCAAGTGCTCTTAACTACTGAGCCATCTCTCTACCCCTGTGATTATCTTTATAACATATAGTTCACAGTATCAATTGGGTTTAGCAAAGTGCCATTAGGTCCATAAAAGCAATCGATTGCATTTTATATATCTGTATATATACATGCATATAATATTATCTATTAAAAGCAAAAGTAAAGATATAAATTAGAATAATGTCATACTGTGATTTAAAAGTATTTAAGACCCCACTTAGACTACTTTAAATCATTATAGAGACAAAGACATAAATATACTGTAACTATGGATTTTCTTTGTTGACAATTCATATGGGAGTGCCCACCTCCTGGCTAATGGCCCTGGACTGAACTGAGCAAGCCATGGAGAGCAAGCCAGTAAGTAGCATTCCTCCATTCCTCTACAGTTCCTGCCTCAGCTTTTGCTTGGGCTCCTTCCCTGACTTTCTCTTAGTGATGGACTGTGATCAGGATATGTAAGCCAAATAAACTTCTCCCCAAGTAGATTTTGGTAACAGCTGTTTTTGCAGCAGTAGAAATCAAACTAGGACACATGTAATCTCAGTTACCAGAGGGTAAGATAGAGAGGTGGAAGTTCAAGTCCAGCCTAGGCTGATAGTGAGTTCAAGGCTAGCTTGAGTATCTTGAGATAAAATAAAGAAAGGGTAGGGGTGCATCTCTGTGGTAAAGTGCTAGTCTACCCATCCCAACACACACACACACACACACACACACACACACACACAGAGAGAGAGAGAGAGAGAGAGAGAGAGAGAGAGAGAGAGAGAGAGAGAGAAATTGATATAAAAGAGGTTTAACTGTTTAGAGACATACATATTGTTAATCAAACTAAAATTCAAGAAAATATCTATCTTAAAATGATGACTTTGAGCAGTTAAAGGTAACTGCTCAGTTCTTACAGAGGACCTGGGTTCAGTTCCTAGCATACACATGACAGCTCACAACCCATCCATAATTCCAGTTCTAGGGATCTGATACCCTCCTCCAACTTCTGTTGGGACCAGGCACACACATTGTATGTATACATACAAGCAGGCAAAATACTTACACACAAATCAATTTAAAACAAACAAAAATACTCTCAGTGATTACTTGGTGGGAAAGGAAAGGCTTGCAGCTGGGAGGGACTGAGGGGCGCTTCTGAATGTCCTTAGAATCCTGTATTTTGACTAGGATGTTGGCTTCAAAGCCCTTCCTTACTTTATGATAACTGGGTGGATAGTGCACTCTAATTTGTTTACTTTTCAATATGTGTTTTAGTTCTTATCTGTGTGTGCACATAAAGGAAGAAGAGAGCAGGAGGGAGGAGTAACTCCAGGAGGTTTTGTGGAGTTAAGACCATCTGGGTTATTTACAATCAAATGAGCCAAACCAAAGCAAGTGTAATTAAATTAGTTGGAAGCAGCATGTTGCTTGTAATTCTAGTTACTAGCTTGCATGGGTACGGCTCTGCCTGCTGTATCTCCTCAGTACAGTTTGAAAGGTTCATTTTCTTGGTTCTGTGGTTTGAAAATGGTTTGTCCCTTTGGAGACTCATGCTGGAGATTAATCCCATTAATTACTAAGTACTAAGTACTAAGTACTTAGTACTAAGTACTTAGAGGGTGGAATCCATCTGGCCTTGGCCTTTGAAAGATGATCAGGACTAGATAATGCCACCAGGGTATGTATGTATGAATATACATCATGTATGAATATTCATACATCACCTATGTATGAATATTGTTGATTTCATAAGCAGAGTGAAGAGAGACCAGACCAGAGATGATATGCGCCCCCCTCCCCCATTTCTCGCAGTGTGGTGCTACACCACCTGATACTGCATGAAGAAGGACAGCTCCAAACTCAGCACCTTGTGCCTCCAGAATTCTACTGGTTAGTTTTGTCTGTAAATTTCACATAACCTGGACTCACCTGGAGAGAGAGTCTTAGTGGAGAGTTGTCTAGATGGAGTTGGCTTGTGGGCACGTTTGTTGGGGACTGTCTTAATTGTTGTTGAAGTAGGGAGACCAGCCCTGAATGTGGGCAGGGATAGTTCACAGTCTGGGTCCTGAATTATACAGGACAGGAGAAAGCTGGGTGAGACTGAACAAACATAGGTGTATGATTTGTCTTTGCTCTTGACTGGATGTGATCTGACTAGTTGCTTGAGTTCCTGCCCTGACTTCCCTGAAAAGAGAGATGATGACCCAGAACTGTAAGCTGAACAAGCCCTATTCTCCCCTAAATTGCTTGCAGTCAGAGTATCTGTCATAGCAACAGAAATGAAATTAGAAAAAGAACTATGCACCCAAAGAGTCCTCTTTTCTTTATAACTTCCTCAGCCTGTGGTGTCGTGTTATGAACTATGGAAGACAAGCTGATACACTCAGTCATCTGCTTTTGAGAACCTACAATGTGCCAGGCAGTAGGATGTGTTTTTCTTCTGAGCTGTGTTTCGTGGAGTCAGAGGAAATACAGATGATTTGGGTTTGAACATTGACAGCTCTCCAATTTTGGTATCGTGAAACTCTCTTCTCTTACACCACCCCCACCTTTGCCCACGCTCTAGTGGGAATGATTAAAACCTGTGAAATACTACATATCAAAACAGACAGGATGCATATACTCAAGAAAATACCGCGGCCATCTGAGAACAGGGTGAGAAAGGCTGTTGAAATCTCTGGCAGTCTAGAATTATGCGCATATTCTCTGGCTACTTAAATCTAGATAAAGAGCCCGGAAATTTAGGGCTTAAAATCCAAAGCTTAGAATGCCAGTCCCATTGGCTGTTGGCTTCTTCTTTCTTTAGGAATGCAGATGTCCTTAAAGCTCAATAATTACAGGCATTAACACAGAATATGTGACTAGACAAAAACTTAAGGGGGCATGTATGAGTTCTAAATCTTCCATGCCTGTCTGAACTACATTGCATACGATGTTGTCTTCTCTGAGTGGATCTGTGCATCTATAGAATATGCTAGAAGTAAATTTCCAGGAGTTGGGCTTGCCCAGTCCTATGCAAATCCATAGTCAGGGAGTGGTATGGCAAGCATGCTGACTCTAGTCCACTTTCTTCATAGCCATGAGCTTCAGATGAGCTGGGGCTATGTGTCCCTCCTTCAGCAATGTGTGCCCAGTACATAGCACAGACTTGAACATTCTTACATACCAGAACTTGTTGGCTTATTGAATGAGGAACAGAATAAGCAAATACTTGACAAACACATTTCCCTAGAATGAGCAACAAAATTATAGAATGATTCCATCTAAAATTATATTTAAAAAGCACCAAGTCTCCGATTTTTGGACTTTCATTCTTTCAGTCAAGTAACTTCATTGACTGTTTAAGTGAGCCCCAGGAATAAATACTAGATATAGAAGCTTTGATGAACGAGATAGATGTAATAGAGAAATGGTCGTGCTGGGAGGCCAGTGCTCAGGAGAGTCAACTGAGGAAGTCCTCACTGACAGGTGATGCTTCAGCAAAGATCCAATGTCGGTGAGGGAGTGAGCCTCATTTTATTTGGCAGGATGATGTTTTAAGCAAAGGGAATGGCATATGCAAAGGCCCTGGGGTAACTAGTCCTGAAAGAAAGGAATCTGTATAATGGAAGTAGAACAGAGGAGAGTGGTGACGTCCTGGTAAAGTCAAGTCATCAGTCCAGACCATGCAGGGACTAGAAGACCTACAGGGGGATAAAGTCTTTTGGTGCTTTGGAGCAAAGGAGTGACAGGTTCCAACCTGATTTCTGACAAGATCAAATTGGCAGCTGTGTTGGAACAAAAAGGCTCAAGAATAACCACTCCCAGAGTGGGAGCTATAGAAGTGTTTTTAATCGTTAGACATAAGCAAAGAATTCAGTTTTCACTGAGACAAAGTCAAAATGGTGGTCCTCTTCTTTCAGGAATATATTTAATAAAGGGGTAGATACAGCTAAAATTACTCCGTAGGACTTTTGTGTGGGTTAGAATAGGTACTTGGTGATCAGTGGTTATGCTACTGTGATTCCATTTTGGAAATTAGAAATGTTTAAATAAAATGAGTGAACTACAGATCACTGTTCTGAGTGTTTTCTAGAAGTACCATTCACTTTTAAATTATTTTAATCTTAAAAGCCTGACAGAATAATCTTTAAAAACCAACATAAAAATCACCCAGGAGGCCAAGGCAGGAGGAGTTCGGGTTCAAGGAAAACCTGTGCTATATGTGAGACTCTATTTCTAAAACAAAACAAAACAGCAAACAAACGAAAACACCCTCTACAAAACCAAAACACGACCAACAATGAAAACATAAACCTGAAATATTAAATTAGTGAGAGACAAAACAAAGTAAGTATGAACAATGAGATCCAAAGAAATTATTTTTGCACACACAAATAATAGAATTTTCAGATTATACTGGGTTTAGTAACTCATTATGAGAAGATGTAAATTTAATGTGGAAGCCATCAGCTTGATAATCCAGGAAATTGAATCATCTGGTTAATGGAGAGAAGTAACTAAAGACATTGTTATACAAAAGCCACACTACCGTGGTTACACAGTAAGCTATTGGCAGAACCTGGAAAATGAGCCCATCAGTTCAAAATGTCAGTCCCATCACCAAATAGAAAACCCTTCAATGCTCCGAAGCCCTTTAACTCCTCTAGAAAAGACACTCATGAGAGCCTTTGAAAACCCAGAAACAGTCCTCAGAGAGGATGGGAATTACCATCAACAAGTTACGACACTGAAAGAACCTCCACTGTGCTGTCAATATTGAAAACCTGCTTTCTATCAACTATGCTAGTGGGAAGGTCCACTGCCTTCTCATTCCTGATGTAGAAAATCAAGAGATGGTCAGAGAATGTACATTCCAGGTTGGTGGGAAAACACTTACGAAAAAGCTTCTCAGACAACAATGAAGATGCTCCATTTTCTCTCTGGTTTTTGTGACATTTCAAATCTTATTGCTTTTTTAAATTGAGGGCTTTCGGTTCTTCTTCTCTGTCTCTCTTTGTCTTGAGTAGACTAGGCTGGCCTCAAACTGGCAGTATAGCCAGAGATGACCTTGAATGGCTGATTCTCCTGCCTCCACCTAAGTACATACGGGTACATGTGACAGCACAGCTGGTTGTATATGGTGCTGAATATTGAATAGGGGCATTGTGTGAGCTCGGCAAGCACACTACTAATGAGATGACATCCCAGCCCTCTTATCCCAAATATTTATTTTGTGCCTTATTGTATGCATGTAAGACTACAGACTCTGTAATTGCATATTCTGGAACAGACACCTGGGTTCACCTGACAGTGGATCAGTTTGCGTTCATATGATATGGACATGCAAATCTGGTTCAGGGTTAAGATCTGTGCTGGGAAAATGAATTACAGATCTGAGTGACTGCATGTACATGGTGTTTAAAACCATAAACCTTCTGCCCACCTCATGAATTCATGGACCCTACCCATTTTTATCTTCACGATACTTCTTCATTAAAAGTAAAAATATGAAGACAAATGCAGTCTAGAATGGGTTCATGATTGTGACACTCATTTTAAAGTCTAATTTTGAAGGAAGTCAAAACATATTCATGGGTCCCTGAAATTATTGTGGTCCCTAGAAACTGTACCCTCTGTGCTTGATGGATAAGTCAGCTGATAGTTGAGATGGAATCTCTGTGGGAACAGATATAGTCAAAAAGATGAAAAAGTCAGGGAAGGGGCCCTGAGTCACTCCAACATGTAGAAACCATGAAGAGTTGAAATCATGTCAAGGTTTTATCCTCTGAGATCATGAAACACTCATTGTTCATTGAACAGCTGAATGAGTTTCAAACCACCTAATCCAACTTTGACAGTTCTCTTGTAAGGGATTTTACATCTACAGTTGCATCTACTCTGAAGGGCCACAGCCTCTCATCACTCCCAGTGCCTAGAGTACACAGACCCTGTGCACCATGGTCTCATGACCAACTTTAAAAAATTAACAGTATGAGCATGCATGTGTCTCTGTGTGGGTATGTGCATCTGAGTACAGACATCCACATAGATGACCAGAAAGGGGCATTGGAGACCCTGGATCTAGAGCAAGCAGTTGGGAGCTCCTCAATATGGTTGCTGGGAACTGAACTCAGGTCCTCTGCAAGAGCAATCTATCCACTGACCTGGCTCTCTGCCCCCCTTTCTTCCCGCCCCCCCTCCCCCCCGCCCCCCCTCCCCCCCTCCCTCCCTCCCTCCCTCCCTCCTTCCTTCCTTCCTTCCTTCTTTCTCCCCTTCTTTCTTTCTTTTTAAGATTTTATTTCCTCTATACCCAACGTAGATATGCTGTTTATGATTTTCAAAAGAATTTGCCTTACAGATAAGCAAAGGAATGGAAGGAGCCGCCAGTGAGAAAGGGGACAAACCAGATGCATGCGGTTTCCCGAATACCAAATGCAGAAGGTTGTGAGGAGGCAGAGTCTAGCACCATACCCCAGGTAAGTGATATAAGCTGCCAGCTGGAAAGATCTGTATGGCCTGTCAACATGGAAGTCCTTAGGGAGCTGATCTAAGAGGATGGGGTGACAGAGTCAAAAAGAGGCACTGAGTGACTGAGTGCAGCTCTGCCGAGGAGTTTTGCTCTGAAAGGAGGGAAGGATCCAATTCCAGGGGCTTCTCATTTCAAAGATAAGATATATCACTTGCTACTGGGAAGGTTCCCTTAAGGAGTGAAAAAGAGAGCATGTGAAAGATAGGGAGGGGAGGAGGAGGGGAAGGAGGAAGGCAGGGGAGAGGAGGGGGAGGGGGAGAGCAGGGAGGGGTCTGGAGGAGGA